GTAGACACATTTGTACTGGAAATCAGTGTAGTTGTCACAGAAGTGCATAGTTCAAAATTCGGACATCCATGGGGTGGATTTACGGATGCTGCCACATAGGAGACAGTTTGATGGTTACTGTAGGGAATCTTCAGGAGGAATATAAAAATTGAGAGAAGCATTTTTGGGGAGTTAAGAGCTTGTGGAGAGAAAAAAGAGCTGTGAATTCCAAAATGATGAATAGTTCATAATTTTAGGAAACAACACAATAGAAAACCTTTCACACTTGGGTCACCAATAGCAACGGACACCTCTCCCTTTTGTGAAAGGTGGACAATAGAGCGCACATGCCTCATTAATTAATAATTATTGTTTTTGGAGTGTGGTGATTCTATAATCAATTTGGACCACTACATTAAAATGACCTAGAAAACACACCAGTAGCATGTTAGGCCAATTCTAGGTCATTTAACCATGGTGGCCTAGAAAACCCAAAGTTAGGCCACCACGTTCAAATGAGCTAGGAAACACACCAGAAGCATGTTAGACCAATTCTAGGTCATTTATCCATGGTGGCCTAGAAATCTCAATTTGCAATAACTAGGCCACCACATTAAAATGACCTAGGAGGCACACCTGGGGCATATTAAGCTAATCATAGTAATTTTATTATGATGGCCTAGAAAACCCAAAGTTAGGCCACCACTTCAGAATGACCTGGAAAACACACCGACGGCTTGTTAGGTCATTTTTAGGTCATTCAACCATGGTGGCCTAAAAACCTTAATCACCAAAGTTAGGCAACCAATTCAAGGCTCAAAAATGGTTCAATTTGTCCAAAAATCTGGGGTTCGGGTTTTTTTGGAATGCTGAATTGAACTAAATCTTTCGATGTTTGGATTTTTCAAAGCCTAAAACTTTCAGTGATCGACTTCTGCACCCCGGACCCTTGCCAATACAACAGTACCTGCACCCCAAAGTTTAAAGGATACAACTGCACATGTTTAACTGGTCTAACCGATGTCAATTGTAGTACAAGTAAGACTCGTAGTTTCCTCCAATCCCTAAACTACAGTAATCTACAGTAATCGATTTGTGTGTTCCTTTCAAAAACTCTGACAATCAATGGGTCAAATCACCGTGTAATACAAAAGACGATCAAGCGAATTGCACAAAGGGCATCAACACCTTTACATGCAGTTGTAGTGATAAATGGGTGGATACGCTGTGTGATTTGAGTGAGTTTTTGAAATTCTAGATTTTTTTAATTAAACAAAATTCAGATGCTCTCATCAAAGACGTCCTTATGGCGATCTATGGTCGTGTGGACCTCACCATGATCTCGGTAAGTTCTACCATAGAAGCTCTGCATTCTATTTAAGCTCCGTCCATTTCAGCTTCTCAACGACCTAATGCAAAACCCATCTCAAATCAAGGATATGGTACCGTTCATCACCGGGTTACTGTCAGATAGTGAGAGATCCGAGTTGAGTTGGGATGTGTCGGATTTGTTCACATGGATTGCTTTTGAGGATCAGAGATTGGATATGAAGTGAGCGGGGATTTTTTTGGAAGCAAAAATTCGAAATGCTATTTAAGCGGAGGGGGCAGTTGAACTTATGGACCCAATTCTAGAGTTGCCACGAAGCTACCAGCTGAGCTACGGTGTCGTGAGCTAAGGGGGTCGAGCACAATGCCTCAATTTTGAACCTTTATATCTCCGTTCCTGTAAAAGATATCAAAAAGTGGTCAACTGATAAAATGTTTAGCATAATATTACCAATAATTTTTTAGTTGCCCACTTTTTGATATCGTTCATAGGAACCGAGGACAGCTGAGAGAGCCCCTCCCCCCGGTTTCCTGCGCACCAGCGCCCGCAACTTTGAGCCTATATATCTCATTCCATGTGAGAGATATCAACAAGTGGTTAACTGATAAAATGTTCCTCATAAAATTACCAATGTTTTGTTAGTTGATTACTCTTTGATATCTTTGACAAGAACTGAGATGACTAGGCTCGAAGTTGAAAGTTAGAAGAGGCGTGGGTTGGGGCCATTGTATTAGAGTGGGTACGGTAGCTTTAAAAAATTGTTTTTCAGCAAAGACATTTATATGTGGAACGATGTGGTGTTGGGAAATTGCTTCACTTTCAACCATCAGGATCATAATTTCACATACTTGATGAGACGATCCGGAAGACATGGAGGTCCAAAATTCCAAAAAAAAAATTTAATTCAAAAAACATTCAGGAATACAAGCCTTCATGAAGACTCGTCAAGACGAATATGCTCCATGGTACGACACAGCAGCGATCAACGTTTTTATTCATAATCGGGATGAGTACGTCTTCTCAGAATCCGTTCGGTATAATGCTGAACCCAATGCCGAGTCAACTATCAATATTTTTATGGTACTGTAGTTTGTAGGCTTTGTAGACTTTGTAGTCTATACAGTTTGTTGTCTTTGTAGTCCTTGTAGCCCCTATGATCTCTGCCAACTTCCTCGCAATTCTTGCCTTCAGGATTTCAGAATTTTTGGCGCGAAGTCGAATTTTTTGAAAACCCTCAATTTCAGACAAGGTACACACGACTTGGTGGACGATACGGAAAATGTGTGAAGAAAACTTCCGAGGTCAAAAATTACTATTATCCGGGTGCCTATACAACAGATGTGAGCTTTTATAGGAGCAAACCCAAACCTTCAACTTTGAGCTCAATTATCTTGGTTCCTTTAAAAGATATCAGAAATTTTCCAACTGATAAAATAATGGTGATAAAATGATAAACAATTTATCAGTGGACAGAATTTGGATATCCTTTACAAGAATCAAGATGATTGATCTCAAATTCGACAAACTTTTCTCGAAACTTCCAAATTCCCAGGGCTGCCTACGCACGTGCTACCAGGACCGTATCCAGTCGGAATGCAATTGTATGGATCCCAGGTATCCAAAAGCGCCAAACGCCACGTCTTGCCAGCTATCGGAGAGAAGTTGTGTGACTGATGCTTCTGAAGCCGCCGGAGATCCGTCCACGTGGCCGACGTGTGTCTGTCCGTTGCCGTGCTCAAATCAGGAGTACTCCGTTACCTGGAGCAAAGCGAATTTTGTGAATTTGGTAGGGATTTGGGGTTTGGGATTTCTTCTTTTAATCAGAAATATTTCAGCCTATCTCCTGTGCTGTCTCATCTGATGTACCAGCTTGTCAGACCAGATATTTGGATAATTTAATGATAAATGTCGTCCTACCACAGCTCGATTTCAAAATCTATGCAGAGACTCCAGCGATGGATGTAAGTTTTAAAACTTTGAAATTGTGAAATTGTGAAAATTCCATAGCTTTCTTCATTTTCAAGCTAGAACTTTGAATTTAGGTCCATTTGAATCTCCGGAAATTCCGAAATTTTTAAAAATAATTGTTCCAGTTCAACAAGTTCCTTTCCCAACTTGGAGGCCAGTTGGGAGTACTGATGGGCATCAATTTGGTCACTTTTATTGAAGTTGCGTTCTTGTTTTTCGGCCTTTTTATGGTCTGCTGTCGGAAATATGATAAATAATTTTTCAAATGAAGATGTTTCTGTTGAGAAGTGTTTTCTTAATTTTCAGAAATTCAGAAATTCAGAAATTCAAAAATTCAGAAATTCAGAAATTCAGAAATTCAGAAATTCAGAAGTTCAGAAATTCAGAAATTCAGAAATTCAGAAATTAAGAAATTAAGAAATTCAGAAATTCAGAAATTCAGAAAATCAGAAATTCAGAAGTTCGGAAATTCAGAAATTCAAAAATTCAAAAATTAAGAAATTCAGAAATTCAAAAATTCAGAAATTCAAAAATTCAGAAATTAAGAAATTCAGAAATTCAAAAATTCAGAAATTCAAAAATTCAGAAATTAAGAAATTCAGAAATTCAAAAATTCAGAATTTCGGAATAATCCCGACCTTAAAAACCTTAGCATTCTTAAAGCATTCTGAGGACTTTCAGATTCTCTGCCACTGATAAGATACATATTTCTCTCTCTCTCTCTCTCTCTCTCTCTCTCTCTCTCTCTCTCTCTCATTTCCTTCCATTCGTCTTCCACGTTTTTATTTATTATCCCCCATCTCTCTATCCTCCCCAACCCCAAGAGCAGCAGCTGTCATGCGCCTTCAAAATTTTTTTGCCATCTTCTTCTTTTTCTTCAGATCCTCTCTTCTCCGCCAAATGAGTGACAAGTGGTTCTGGTGATAGATTTGTGACAAGAGAGAATTTTTTACTACTACCTGACTCATTTTTTTTCTATTCTTATTTTTTTTTCTAGTCCAGCTTCTGGGAAAAATTGCTGAAAATCTGTGGGGCTGAAAATGGCGAGTTTTCTGAAAAGACTCGTGGAACATCGCTCGAAATCCCCACAAAAAAGAACAAGTCACAATAGGAATGGATCATCGGAAAATGGACAAATGGTAAGTATTTTTTAAGAATCTGGAAGTTTGTTCATTTTCAGTGTTTTGAGACTTTCAAACTAATTTTTTGAAAATTTCGTAACTTTTAGAATTTCTAGGATTTTGGGGATTTTCAGTTTTCTAACCACTTGAAAATTTCTATAATTTTCAAAAATGTCTAGGAATTCCAGCGTTTTCCAAAATTCAAATTTCTCAGATTTCCCGCCAAAACTTCAAACCGTATGCTCCGTATGCTCCAGTCTGCTACCTACCCCTCCCACCATCTCCAACTCCAAACTATCAGAGCCTTCAGCAGAAGAATAACCATAGCAGTAGCAGGTCAAATGTGAGTCGTTTGAAATTTAAAATTTTGACGGATTTTTCAAAACGGATTTTTCAGTTGATTTTCAGCTATTTTCAAGAGTTCGGAGCTCGGCTATCAAGTATTCGATCACTTTGAAAATTTTAAAGGGTGTAAAACAGACCAAGATTGAAAACTTTGCGTTTTAAGAATTTTCCGAAAACTCCTAGTTTTCCAGCCACTTGCTTATTTCTGAAAGATTCCTTTTTAAAAGTTTTCAGTACAAAAAATGCATTTTTAAAGAAAAAAAACACTATTTTCACCCTTTAGAATTCAAAATTTTTACTTCAAACTATCAAAAACAAGATTTCCATGCTTTCTTACCTCTAAAAACCAATTTCCAGCCCGTTCGCTCGATTCGTCGTAAAGTTTGGTGTCTGGTCTGCAAACACTTTGGTCTACATGGTGTTTGCAGACGGAACACTAGATTTTACGAAAAAACGATCTAGAGAGCTGAAAATTAGTTTTTAGGGAAAACCGGGATGGGAAACTCGTTTTTGATAATTCGAGCTGAAAATTTTAGCTTTGTAATTTAGAAAATTCAAACTTTTCGTATTTTTAACCCTTGGCCAGGTTTTGTACTGAAAACATGAAAAAACAGCTGTCTTTCAGAAACTGGCTAATAACTGAAAAACTATGAATTTTCCGAAAATTCTGCGAATGCGAAGTTTTCAATCTAAGTCTGCTTTACACCCTCCAAAGTTTTCAAAGAGATCGGAACCTTGACAATCGAGCTCCAGACCTTGAAAATGATCAAAAAGACTGAAATTGAACTGGAAAATACGTTTTTACAATATCTTGATGACTCTATGTACCAAATTCTACTATTACTTCTAATCATAGTTGCAAAATCACGGGCCGGTCCGCGGGCCGGGAAGGGCCTGGGGTCAATACTAAAGCTGATTTTTTCCCGATTTTTCAAAAAAAAAAAAATTGAAAACTAACTTATCTGGAACCAGTTTTGAAAAAAAAGGGAAAATTTGAAAAAAAAAATTCAGTTAAGTGAGGCGGGCCGGACGGGCCGGGCCGGGAAAATCTTCCTATCGGCCCGGCCTTGCAAGTATGCTTCTAATTTTTGACATGAAAAATTTTTCTACTATTTGAGTAAAAAAAGAGAGCATTAAAAATGAGATATTTCGGCGCTAAAATAACTAGAGACGCAGACGACGAGACACTCTAAGTGTCTGCGTCTCTTCGTAACGTGGAACCGCTGTAGCTCAGCTTTCAGAAGTGCTAGAACGTTGGTTTCCAGACCACTGAAGATAGTCGAAACTGCTAAAAAACAACTTAAAATACGTTTGTTTTTGTATATCTTATTGACCGGTACTGTACAACGATTCTAGTTGCAGTAACCCAAAGTTTTCAGACTTGCCAACTATCTGATATCATATTAAGCGGTATTTGAAAGTTTTGTGCCTGGAAAATTCGATTTTCATAGTTTCATTCAACTCAACCATAATTTCAGGAGTCATTCGGAATCCATTCCTGGAACACGGAGCCGCGAGAAATCGACGACGTCTTCTACCCACCATCCAAGTCTCCACAATTTGAAGCTCCAGTTCCTGGACCACTTATGAGGGCTCGATCACATTCTCCAAGGAAAATGAAACGAGAATCGAATGAGGAGAGAAAGCTGAAAAGCAAATCAAAGTCGCCACAAAAGAAAATGGGTCCGTCTACAGCTGTGATCAATCAGATGGATTATCTGAATTCTCAGTGTCATTTGGAAGGGTGCAGAGCTGATATTGTGGTTAATGTGAGTTGTAGAATTGATTTTGGAGTTGAAAATTTTCAAAAATGACGTTTTCTAGTCCACCCGATTCATGTTATGTCGCCACCAACTCTGCCATGCTTCGGTATTTTTCAAGGACCTACTTAGTGGGTCCAAGGAAAGCAATAAGGATTATCATGTGAGTAATAAGACTAATTAACAACTTAATTACTCACAACTTTTTTAACTTCTTGCCCTAAATATCCTAATTAAAAATTTAATTACTAATAATTTCAAGGTTAACGTATCCAGCATGTCTGATCCCACCCCATCGACTCAATTCCGGTGGTTTGTGGAGTCGTGTATCCCGTGTCCAGCGCTTAAGGATATTTCAGGTATGGTCACTTTGAGCTCAATTATCTCAGTTCCTATAAGAAATATCAATAAAGTGTCAACTGATAAAACATTGGTGATACTATGATAAGCAATTTATCAGTTAACAAATGTTTGGCATCTTCTACAGGAACCGAGATAATTAAGCTCAAAGAGCACATATAAGGTTTTTTCAGATGAAACCCTAGAAACCTGCATGCGGCTCTCACAAAGGTTCCAAGCTAAAGGCCTCGAACTTCGCTGTATGAAATATTTAATTGAAAATGTAAAAATATATTTATTAGCGATTGTTAATTACCCAATTTTAGGCACACCTCCGTCAACCAATTGTGGCGCTTTGCTGGCTTAATTGGGCACTTAAGCATAATTTCGATTCTCAAACTCATTCTGCACTCCTTCCATCTGTATCCAGATTATCATTGAATGCTTTACAGAGGCATAGGCATATGATAACAGAGCATATTTATTCAGATATAATTACGGCGAAATTGAGAAGCACTTATGATAAGGTAATTAATTGAAAATGGACTTTACAGGGTTTCCTCTAACAGAAGCCAACAAAAACCTTTAACTTTGAGCTCAATTATCTGGAATTCTATGAATCAATTAAAATTAATCTAATTAGTGACCAATTAAGACCGTACAAGTATTCCTGGCGATTCACAAAATTGATCATTTCTCGGCGGATTTGGATATTTGCCCAAGGTGTAAACGAACCAAGGATGGGATGAAAATCAAGGTGCATTGTGATCCATGCAGGTAATAAGGAAGTTAATTGAGCAATTAACTCTGTGAAATCCAGTATTTTCGAATCTCAGAATTTCTGAATTTCTGAATTTCTGAATTTCTGAATTTCTGAATTTCTGAATTTCTGAATTTCTGAATTTCTGAATTTCTGAATTTCTGAATTTCTGAATTTCTGAATTTCCGATTTTCAGAATTTTAGAATTTCTGAATTTTTGGATTTCTGAATTTCTGAATTCCTGAATTTCTAAATTTCTGAATTTCCAATTTTCAGAATTTTAGAATTTCTGAATTTCTGAATTTCTGAATTTCTGAATTTCTGAATTTCAGAATTTCTGAATTCCTGAATTTCTGAATTTCTGAATTTCTGAATTTCCGATTTTCAGAATTTTAGAATTTCAGAATTTCAGAATTTCTGAATTTCTGAATTTCTGAATTTCTGAATTTTTGAATTTCTGAATTTCTGAATTTCTGAATTTCCGATTTTCAGAATTTTAGAATTTCAGAATTTCAGAATTTCTGAATTTCTGAATTTCTGAATTTTTGAATTTCTGAATTTCTGAATTTCTGAATTTCTGAATTTCTGAATTTCTGAATTTCTGAATTTCTGAATTTTGTAACTTCTGAACTTCTCAATTTCTCAGTTCTTTTTTTTGCTTTTCAAAATCAATTTTTGAGTTATTTCGTAGTTTTCCAACTAATTGATTGACCTAATTAGTCTTAAATTGACATTTCTCTCTCAGAAAACAAGTCGGGTGTGATCGTTGCTATCAAGAAGGCTGTGAAATCAGTGCTCGAGAAGATCTTCAAGCATTCTTCAAGTGTCCTCATGGCATGACCCCAATTAACGACACCACAGATGACTGCCATTGTCAGATTCCATATATGGCACAGTATTTAGGTAATTATCTTTTAATTAGGCTAGAAAATTGTTGAAAAATGTGGAAAGTTAGCTGAAAAATCTTTTTTAGGCTAATTAAACATTTCCAATTAACCCTAATTATAGGAAATCAACCATCAATGCGCTACCAAGAAACCAATGACGAATATATGGTTCCAATGGATCAGCAATCCAAAAATGAGCGAAAAAATCGAAAAAAACAGCAAAAATCGGAATTGTTGAATTTATAAAAAATATTAAAAGATCAATTTCAATTTTTCCATTTTCACATGTTTTTGGCGTAGGCGGCATTTTTCGGATTATCCCTTTTACTGACCAGAATTTTTTGTCCTCTTTCGATTTTGTAAAAACATTGTATGTTTTGGTTTTAACATTTCTTTTTTTGGTATTTTTTTCAGATTTTTTAATTTTCAGAACTTTCAGATTTACCTAAAAATGAACCATTCCCTATATGATCTCTATCCATATTTGTACAAATCGACAGATGCGAAAATTCACAAAATACGCTCTATTGATAAAACGGGATGGGATGATATTTTTGAGCCAACTTATACTGCCATTGAGCATTCACATAGGTTACTGTCGGAGTGGTTTGTGGATACAGTATCCCTGTTGGCCAGTATGGCCCTTTGTGTTTTTTTGTGGAAACGGAAGAAGTTGTTGCTGGAGTTTGCGGTGGGTTTTTAACTTTTTATTCTGAAAGGAAATCGGAATTTTCTAGAATTTGAATCTGGAATCTGGAATCTGGAATCTGGAATCTGGAATCTGGAATCTGGAATCTGGAATCTGGAATCTGGAATCTGGAATCTGGAATCTGGAATCTGGAATCTGGAATCTGGAATCTGGAATCTGGAATCTGGAATCTGGAATCTGGAATCTGAAATCTGGAATCTGGAGTTTCTCAGAATGTGAAAAAAGAATATCCGAATCCCAATATCCAGAACTCCATCTCCTTTGCCACATTCTCCGCCCAAATCCTCTATTGGCCATTCTACCTCCTTTCCACGTGGCAAACAATGTTTCTCCTATTCGGAAAGGCTCCAGAATACCCCTCGATTCTCCATTGCTCACTTTTAAGACATTTCGTTTTGGCATGCTTCCAGTCGGCGGGTCTGATTACTGTACCAATCGCCGTCGATCATATTTGCTTGGTTTTTTTGAAAAAACGACTGAAAATTTTCAATATGATTGCTTTTCAAGTTTTTATCACTTTTTCAGAGGTAAGTCTTTATTTAAAAGTCTGAAATTTTGAAAATTCGATTTTTGAAAAAAAATTTGATTCCCAAAATTCAAAAACCCCATAACTTTCTTAATTTTCAACCGATTTTCATGATGTTAGTCTTTAAAAATGCCAAATCTTTTCGATTTTTGAGAAATTCAAATTCCCGCTAAACCACTTCCAGCTTTTCTTCACCCTGGCTCATCTAGCAGTTGGAGACATCACAATCAATGACATCTGTGCTCAATGGATAGCATCACCGGACGTTTTTTTAATTTCCATGTCTTTCAACAACACATTGTTACTTTTTGCGGTTTTAACGAATTTTACCCTGGTCATGGTTCAAATTTTTGAAAAATTTGTTTTTAAAAGTGAGTATTTTCTCAATTTTGGAAGAAGTTAAAATCCAAAAATTCAGAATGCGGAAATCCGGCAAAACTGTGCTTAAATTATTCAACTGTACTTTTATTACAAAGCTCTACAGAACTGATTTTGTCATTTCCACTTACAGTAAGACAGTGGAAAGTGCTACTCGGTGAAGGTGAGCACGAACTTTGAAAAATCGAGAGCCAAAGATAGCTCAAAGCTCGAAGTTAGTTTTAAGCTATCTCAAAAGTTTAAAGTTAGCCTAAAGCTCATAGCTAGCTCAAAGTTTAAAGCTAACTCAAAGCTAGCTCAACGCTAAAAGCTAGGCTTAAAGCTGACTCAGCTTAAAGTTTAAAGCTAGCTCAAAGATCAAAGTTAGCTCTAAGCTTTGAGCTAGATCTAAGCTAGCTTGAAGCTCAAAGCTAGCTCAAAGTTTAAAGCTAACTCAAAGCTATTTCGAAACTCAAATCTAACTTAAAGCTAGCTGAAGACTAGCTCAAAGTCCTAAGCTAGCTTAAATATCAAAGCTAGCTTAAAGCTCAAAGCACACAAAAAGCTAATTCAAAGCTAGGTCGAAGCTGAAAGCTAGCTCTAGCTCTTTTTTTCTCAAATTTTAATTTTTCATAAAATTCCAGGAATCCGTCATACCAATTACTTCTGTGCGTACGGCTACATGTTCTCCTCTCCTGTATTTTCATGGTCCCACTGCTCAGCATGTTGTGTATACCGAAATTTCGACTGGAATTCTCCAAACTATTCGGTTGCTCGAAATTAAAAGCGACACCGAAAAGTTCGGGAACTTTTAATTTTCAAGTTGTCTATACAAAATGAAAAAATTTTTTATTCGAAAAATCAAAGATCTATATTATGTACAACCGGAAAATTACAAAAAATACAAAGAATGGCAGAAAGCAAACCAACCAGTAATTTTTGGGGAAATTGAGCAGAAATATTTTTCAAAAAAAATAAAATAAAATTATTCAGAATTTGCACTTGTTGGGGTGGCAAAAAGTCTCGGGTCCTTTTTGCCTTCACAAAAGTCACCAGTATTGCTTGTGACACATTTTTCAAAGTATTCCTCCAGTGGATGGGCATAATCACTATCCCAATCGCGTTTGAAAATGTCCTGAAAATTGGAGTAATTTCGAAATACCGTAAAACCTCTAATAGAACGACACCAGGATCGTCCACTTTGAGCCTATATATCTCACTTCTTTTGAAAGATATNCAAAAAGTGGCTAACTGGTAAAATGTTGCTGATAACCTGATAAACATTTTACTAGTTAACCACTTTTTGATATCTTTCAAAAGAAATGAGATATATAGGCTCAAAGTGGACGATCCGGGTGTCGTTCTATTAGAGGTTTTACGGTATGTTTAAAAAATGGTTGTTTTCTTTATTCTAGTTTAAAAATATTTTCAAAGTTCGGAAATTCGGAGGATTAACGAAAATCGGTGATAGAAGGACAAACCTTTGATAGAAGGAAAAGTCAACTTTGATCTAATTTATCTCTGTTCCTTTTGGAGGTATCAAAATCGGTTTACGGCAAGAGGGGAAACGAATTCGCAGGGGAAAACAGCGAAAAAAACATTTTCGAACTTTTTGGAAATCCATATTTTACTGAAGATTTTCAAAATTTCTATGCCAACTGATGTTAGAAAAGATCGGATGATTAACCAGGGGTGGGCGAGGAAGGGAGAAAAATCCTCACGTTTTGCAAATTTTCCGCCCTTGTTTTGCAAAACGAGATTAAAGGCCGACACGTAAAAAATAAATGTTGAATTTTTAAAGCGATTTTTAATAAAATTGTTCAAAATTCAAAATTAATTTTCCACGCCATTTTTTACGTGTCCAGACACATCGGCAAAATTATGTGCGCCTTTAATCTCGTTTTGCGCGTGTTTTTCGTTTCCGACGAAAGCAATTCGTTTCCGACGAAAGCCGATTGCTCGCCCAGCCCTGTGATTAACATTAAACAATTACAATTATAAAATTTTTTAAAAAAAATTGAAACAGTGAACATTTCTTCCATTCAAAACCCATTTATTCGAAAAAAGACCACAGTTCTAATCCAATTTTTGTCCTTTTCTTCTTCCACGATTGCTCAGTACAATTGAACGCCAGTTCCAACCACAAGTACATACAATTTGCCGCTACGCAGCGGTTTGTATCCCGGCAAATGATAGAAGCGAAGATTCGTGTCTTTCAGTGACAACGGTTGGAGATCTTCCATGCCACGTGGCTTGCGGATACTGTAGTACGAGTTGCCGTTCGCGATTGAGGTCCTGAAAGTACAGTAATCCAAGAAAGTTTGGTAAATCGACATGATTATTGTCATTTGAAAGCTCTCGAGAAGCCAAGTTGAATGGTAGTTAAGTCATAATTCTAGGATTACTGCAACTCGAGATATGGTAGTTTTAGTGGGAAAGTCAAACTACATTAATCCAAGAATGTTTCTTTTTTTTACTAGTCATTATTATGCTCATTTTGAAGCTCTAAATGAGCTGAGTTCAAAAATATAACTTTCCGAAGAAATGGTTCAAACTAGGAAAGAAATCAAAAATCGGTCCAACCGCGAAAAGTACAGTAAACCCTTTTTTTTTTGAAAATCTAGTCATGATTATATTTATTTTGAAGTTTTAATTGAGATAAACCCAAAAATACTGAATACCAAAAAACTGGAAAAAAACCTAGGAGAAGTACGGTAATTTCAAAATTTTCAAAAATCCTTAACTCGGTTCATTCTCGTCAAACAATGCCGATTTTTGGCTTAAAATGACTGAAATTATATGAAAATTTGGAATTTTTGACCTACTCATAGGCATGAAGAGTTTTAGTCAACTCGGCGACACGAGTTTGAGACGGGAATTGTAGTCGAGTTGGGTACGGTAGACGTGGCTCGACCATCGCTTCACAATGCACACGTGAACATGGAGCACTTCCCATGGACCTTCGTTCTAGACGGATTACTGTAGTTTAAAAAAACCCTGGACGTGATTATACTCATTTTGAAGCTCTCACTGAGCAAGAATTTTGAGAAATTTGGGGTTACTGTACTAACCGAGCGAAGCGAAATCGATGAAGCCATCGAATCCAACCGACGTCCGGACTCAATTTTTGTCTGTCATGTGTAGCACGTTCGATGCAATCCATGTGGCAGCATCCGGGAGAACCTGAATGAGCAAAGGAGCATGATTACATTTAAGAACTTTTCTCTGTTTCAAAAATTGTGTTAAATAGGTAGACCGTTCTTGAAAGCTTCCGTGTGGCATTACTGGTGTTCATTAGTTTTCACAAGCAGAAGATTATGAGAGAAAATGATTTGAAATTAAAAAAAATTGTTTTCATAATTTTTACAGATTTTAAAAAAATTGCTCACCATCAAAAAGCGCGGTGCTCTTTTGCGATCGACGGCACTTGTCGCAAATCACATGATCACATCCAAACTGTGCCACGTCACCCAGATTCACCACTTTACCACAAGGTCCGTCGCATTGGATTTCTGGAAAAATTGAAACTACAGTAATACTAAACTCCTGAATTTCTGAATTTCTGAATTTCTGAATTTCTGAATTTCTGAATTTCTGAATTTCTGAATATCTGAATTTCNTGAAATTTCTGAGTTTCTGAATTTCTGAATTTCTGAATTTCTGAACTTCTGAATTTCTGAATTTCTGAATTTCTGAATTTCTGAATTTCTGAATTTCTGAATTTCTGAATTTCTGAATTTCTGAATTTCTGAATTTCCAAATTCACTAACTTCCAGTCTTCATTCCCTCATGTACTTTTGCCATTGATGACGTCATCTTCAGACCCACGAATTCCCGATCATCATCCTCATCTGACGTCTTCTTATTCTTCTCCAAATCAATCCACGTCACACAGTACTGACGAGTAATGCCTTTTTCATCCATTGAAGTCGTCATCTTCACATCCTGCACATCGATTTCATCCAAATTCTGAGCAATGACCATTGACGGAAGTACGGTAGTTGATTTCTGACGGCCACACACTTTCCAAGAATTTGCGGACATGTGTTTGCGAAACTTTTCGGAATTTCTGGAATTATGAGGGCTATAAATGTCTAGAAGCTGTCAGACCTTACCAAACAAAACTAGGGCTTCACTTTTGTAGTTGGCGACTTCCTAGCTACCGTAGTCTTTCAGATATGCGCCTTTAAAGAAGTCATGTCTGCATCCTGTCTCCCGCCTGCGCTATTCGGCGCATAACTCAAAAACTACTGTAGCTAGAAAAAAGTTGTCAATACAAAAATGAAGCTCTTTTTTTGTGCAGCATTCACTAAAATTTTCAGAAAAATTGAAAAATTTTAGACTACTTTCGTAGGCTATTAAAAATACTATTTTAAGCCAAAGTCAATTTTTTGAATTTCCCGCCAAGCCAATTTCCCAAACAAACCCTCCATTTGTTCCCATCGTTTTGCCGAATCGATTCTGTTTTTCTTTTAACAAATCCGTTCCTTCTGGAATGTTAGGAAAATTTATGAAGAATAAATTGTCTTCTAGAGACAGTCGTGGTTCCTTTTTTCCCACCGAATTGGATGGAAAAACGGGGATTTTGAGAATTTTGGAACTGTCACGTGTTTTGCTTTTGGGGGAATTCGAATTTTCAAAGTTCACGAACTAGTTTTTGCATTATGGCGTGAAAATTCAGAAACTCAGAAA